CCTCACTTTCTCTGTTTTGTGTTTAAATTGAATTTTCCGACGCGGAAAAGAGTTGGCAGACCTCTCGGACAGCCCGTGCGCACCTGTTTGACAAGAATAAGGTAAGCGGACACCTGTTAATTCAAAGTCTGCCTCATTGAGTAAGCTAAATTGTGGTCTGTTTTTGGGGTCTGCCAAATGTTGTATCTATAGATAAGATTGTATTGAAGAGAAGTTAGCTACCTGCAGAGGAAAAGGGTTAAAGTCCCACAGAAGGGTTAGAGTCCCACAGAAGGGTTAAAGTCCCACAGAAGGGTTAGAGTCCCACAGAAGGGTTAGAGTCCCACAGAAGGGTTAAAGTCCCACAGAAGGGTTAAAGTCCCACAGAAGGGTTAGAGTCCCACAGAAGGGTTAAAGTCCCACAGAAGGGTTAGAGTCCCACAGAAGGTTAGAGGCCCATAAGAATAGAGAAACCATGGTGTAAACAGAAAAGCAATAAAAAGGGAAATGTGTTAAAGAGGCCTTTGTTACAAAAGCTTTGAAATTGACGAATTTCAGGCTGATAAATGACAAAAGTAAAGAAGCAACAATATTTCAGTGATCACGGTTTAAATTACATACAGAAAAAGGGAGTTTTTTTTGTTTTTTAGTTTGTTTTTGGCGTGAACAGAGTTCACCGGAGAATGCAGAGTTTTATCTAAAGTTGAGCTATGAGAGCTTTCGTGAGTTATTTACATTTTTTGCCGAGTTTTATCTACAGTTGAGCTATGAGAGGGTTGTATCCAACAGTTGTTTTTGTTTTTTAGAAAGAGATTTTAAGTTTAAATTAGTTTGCTACCTCGATAAAATAGAAGCGTAAACGTTAAAGACAAGAGTGCCTTTTGTTACTAGTGTGGAAAGTGATCACTTCTAGATTTGGATGACAAAAGTATAAAGAACAACATCAGTTATATTCGCTTAACAAAGTAATCTTGAAAGTTATTCTTCTGTATCTTTTTGCCTGTGTGTGCACATCTCTATCTGCTGCCGTTGTCCGGGAAACGGCCCCCTCCTTCGCTGCTCTGGCTCTGAATCTGAAGCAAAGCTACTGCTTTTAGGATTTAGGCTTTTCATAGTTGTTATTCCGTTAAATTTGCGAAATTTGCCATTGAACATTGTGTTATGACACAGTTAAACGTTTTTAAACACCATTAGTGAATAAGTTTTGAATATTATATGTTTTTGAAACCCAAATATTAGTGCTAAAAGCTGTGCAATTCTTTTTAGACCTAACATATTTCTAGATTCCATTCTTTTTAAATCTGCTGCTTATTTCTTAACTTTTTGTGAGTTGTGTTTGTTTTTATGTTTTTATTTTAGTTACAAAAGCCGTTTTTCAAACATTTAAATTAGAATCTGTTAAACGTGATTAATGATTGTAGACTTCGTCTAAAAAAGAAAGAGGGAATTAGGCTGTAAAAGTATTATATTATTAAGTTAAACTACCCAATTCACATGCAAGTGGTGACTTTTGTTTTTGTTTTGACTACACGCCTGACCTTGTTGCTCCTGCTGATGCCACAGCAGAGGAGACTGGTCTAAAATGTGCTCCAATTCATACTGACTTCATTTGAAAAATGCAGCAATTATTTTAAATTAGTAAAATATATGCTGAGATAAATGCACAGATAATTAAACACACAGTACAAAAGTACATAATACATATTTTAAAGTTTGAAGGTTTAAGAGATTTGAGTCTTGTTTTTTATTAAGAAAGAGTTTCTGGTCTTCAAATGTCATCATTAGTAAGATAATAAGTAATCTTTATTTACATAGCGCATGTGGGAAAACCCAGAGCGCTCCAAAATTGTTTTGACTTCAGAAAGAAAAACAATCTCATTCACAATCTCTGTTGTTTTTAATTTGACTATAAGGTTGTTTTCCAGAACCAAGAGCACACACTGTACAGGGTCACTGGACTGCTGGACACTGGACAGCGCAAAGCCCACCCAGCCACAGGCCACAGAGCTAAGAGCAAAGGGCAACAATGCCACCTCTACGCCCCTCCCCCCACTACAGAAGTAAGTGGGAGTGAGACCGGGGCCACAAAGTGGAGGTGTCTGGAGACGTGATGGGTGGAGAGTCAGGGAAAGACCTGAATGAGAGTTGAAAGTGTGTCCAGTTGGTTTGCATCACCACAGTGTGATCTTTGACACCTACGGGTGGTTCGAGGAGTCTGGAGAAACAACCCCAAAATTCACACACACACACACACATACACTCACACATTCACATTTACATATAGATACATGAAAAAGTAGAACATGAGAAAAAAGCATTTTAAAAGTTTACTCCAATGTAAACACATATTTTTAATTGTCTATCACTTGAATCTTTATTTGAATCTGTATTTTTTGAGACCAGAAATGTTCATTTGAATTCTATATTGTCATGGACTTAATTGACGTCTGTCCTGACACTTTTGATTTGTTGATTTTGTACTGTGTGAAGTAATTACATTGATGAGAATTAGATCTGATAAAAACACAAATTAGAGAAGTAAACTGCGCTTGCTTTTGTCTAAGGGACATTAGCAACAGCATGAATAGAAATTGTGTTAAAGTAGAATCAAAGTGACTTAACCATAGAGAGTAACTACTGCATTACAAGCTGTGTACAGGAACTGAGACACTGCACCATTGACCAGAAGTGCATCGCAAATGACCTGATGTGCGCTTCAACTGAAAAGACTGTATCTGGAGATCTGATGTGCATCTGGACCAAAACCATGGCTTGGACCCTACTGATGTCCAAGATGAAATCTCTCTATGACCTGACCTGATGACGACTGAGACTCACCCTCAGGGGACCTGAGGACCTGAGGACCTGAGAGAGAAAACTGGGGAGTGATGTTTATATTTTTGAAATCATACATTGATGAGTGCTAAATGAGAGAGATACTCATGATTCTTTCTTTTGTTTTTGTTTGTCCCTAGCTTCTGGACATCTGATGATCTATTGGACACAGCCATTTGCAGAACAAGAACCAGCCAATGAAAACGTCTATATGTCCGCTTAAATCCTAACAGATTTGGTGGAGAATGCGCGGCTCGGTTTGTGCCATTCTCTGGATTGTTTTGAGAGAATTTCCTCTGTTTCTTTTTTTCGGCGTGTGGGAGCAACAGCACGTTATCTGGAAGGGGAGAAATCCCAGCGGACGCTGAAAGGGTAAAGGGACCATTTCACACGCATTTACTTCAAAAGTAGATAAAGTTACTTACAGTTTTATTTACAGTTTTATTAGATACTGCCAAATTCACTTGTGTTCAAACATTGGTGAATGTTGACAATGCAAAAGCTCATATGAGTGTAGCCTAGATTAATGCCTAGATTAATGAGATAGATTACAATCAACAGAGATTCAAAAGCATTTTGATGCATTTGGGTATAGCACAAAAACAGAATAGTAGATATTTAGATATTGAGAAGTTTCCAGCACAGATTAGAGAATCAAACACCATTGTAGAATAACTGACCCCAACCCCAAACCTAATTAGCTACTATTAGGATAATACTAATTTGATTAATGATGTACATTCATCCCAAACTGCCTGACAATAATATCTTTAGATAATAAAAAGTAATAAATCACTGACCACTATAGAAGTGTAAATGTTGACCATTTGCCTTACTGTGTTCACAGTTTTATTCCTGAGAATGAGAATAGACATGGAGCAAAATCCCACTAATAATATGCCACTGATAATGAGAGTATAATACCACAGAGAGATTTATTAGATTAAAATGTATGTTTAAGAATATGGCTCAATAGAATCAAATATGCAAACATATTTGTGAATAGATTAGAATAGTTTTAAACTATAGTGAATAGTGAAAGTAAAGTACACAATCTAAGATTAAATAGTGAAAATACAGTGAAGTGAAGAACAATTATCATTAGAATAAAAGTATAGAGTAATAAAAGTGAAATTAGCTTCAAATTTGAGACTCAGCTCGTTTTTGTCTGTGTTTTGACTGAATCTGCTGAGTTCTACTGTGTCCAATAGTGTTTGTTTGTTTTTATATTTGATTTGTTTTTATTTTTTATTTGTTTTTGTTTGTTTTTGTTTTTTGCTTGTTTATTTACTTTATTTTTGTTTGTTTGTTTTTTCCCAGGATAGAGGATAAAATCCACTGATATTGATTTGATGATTATGAGTTTAATGCATACATTTTCTTTGTTTTTAATAATTTGTTAAAGTTTTTTTTTTTTTAGAATTTTTTTTTCTTTTTCCACTTTATTGATTGATCGATTTGAGTGATCACATGTGATTATGTGATCAAAGGGGAGGGTATTAGTATTAGATAGCAATATGGCCTACGTGCAGGACTGTACAAGGACTCTACAAGGACTCCATGTTATGACTATGATTTGACTGTCTCTTTGTGACACGTATGTCTTTCGATGTGTGACGTGACAATGACTATATAAACTGTGTACTGCCTTTATTCTGTCTGAGAGAAAGAAACAGAGTAAACCAGTGGAACTTGAGAGAAACTTAAATAAACTTCCAGAGTTTGGCACACCACGATCCGTCTCTCTCTGCCTAATCCTAACACAAGCTTAAATGCTAATGAGCCACTCGGGCGCATTACATACGTGACTGTAAACTCAGATCCAATCGTTTCAATCTACAAAAGGAGTTAACCCCTCCCACCTGTAAACAGAGCTCAATGGAGCACCTCCAGACCTTAGTACAAAATGTAATTTGTACTATGGTGTGGTACGACCAGGCTAGTGTGATGCATATGTGGGTGTCCATGCCAACCTGTGTGATGCCGGTGTGTGTGTGTGCGTCCATGCCAACCTGTGTGATGCCGGTGTGTGTGTGTGCGTCCATGCCAACCTGTGTGATGCATGTGCGTGTGTGTGTATGTGTGTCCATGCTTACCTGTGTGATGCATGTGCGTGTGTGTGTATGTGTGTCCATGCTTACCTGTGTGATGCATGTGCGTGTGTGTGTATGTGTGTCCATGCTTACCTGTGTGATACGTGGGTGGGTGCACATGCTGCTGATGCCGTTGTGCTCCAGCCACTGGTTCTCTGGGTGGCAGTGTTGCTTGAGGGTGCAGCGGTTCTCCCCTTTGCACCAGACGCAGCCAAACTGTGGGTTTGCCTTCAGACACAGGCCACAGCTGCCCCTCTGAGCATCGCACTTGTACAGATGGACTGGAAAGACATGGCGAAAATTGTTTTAATGGGAATGAATAATAATAGGAGCACACAGAGTTAAGAAAAGAAAATTAAGCTTGATAGACAGAACATTCAGGAATCATCTATAGTTATAGTAGAGCTTGAAATATATCTAAAAACACATTTTGGTCATATTTTAGAGAGTATGAATGATAGTATACTTTTGCTCAAGGTTATTGGTTGTGTGAAGCCATTTATTGTCAAATAAACCTGCTTTCACTCCTCCTCTGGCCATAATTAGTGCAAGTTTCCATTCCCCAGTTCTCAAACATTCCCTTTAACATCTATGACAGCTTGTAGTATTTTGTGGTAGTTATGGATGAGGTTATTTATCCTCTGATGGTAAATTCCTGGGCCTCTTTGCATGAACTGCACATTTGACATCTCTTGAAAATTTGACAATAAATGGCCCCATGCAAAAACTTAAGATGAGTGGAAATAAACAATATTGTGTCATCATTCATAATCCACAAAATATGACAAAAAAGCACAAGTGTACTTTTTTGTTTGTGTTTGTATATTTGATGAATAATCTCATACTCAAAACAAAATCATAATTTAACGCTGAAACTATTTTACTATATTATATTATACACACATATTACACTAGGTAGTAGTATATAAGCATGTAAACTCTTCCTGCTGCTCCTTATTATGCTAAAGTCAGGTTTTTCTAGTCTTTCAGCACCTACAGCCTGGCACAAAAGAAATAACTGCCTTCGGTGAAAAAAAATATATATAATAAAAAAAAATTTGATTATGGGACAGAAAGACTGTTTCTGTCTCATGATCTCTGCATATTGTGGTTGTGTCCTTATCCAAGAACGTCATAAGTAATAGTATGATGTCATTGTAACAGTATTTAAGAGTTTAAGAGTCAATTATCAAATTATGTGCGTTCCAAAGTCACCAGCCTTGGCGTGACTATAGACAGTGATTTTAAATTTGACAAACAAGTGAATGGCGTTTTAAAATCGTGTTTTTATCATCTTCGGCTTTTATCAAAAGTGAAGCCATTCTTATCTTTTAACTTGTTAGAACAGGTTGTGCATGCTTTTATTTCCAGTCGTCTGGACTACTGCAACGCACTTTATGCTGGTGTCAATCAGAAAACCCTCTCCCGGTTGCAGTTGGTCCAGAACGCAGCAGCACGACTTTTAACGGGGGCCAGAAAGCGCGAACACCACCCCTGTACTCGCGTCTTTGCACTGGCTCCCTGTTCATTTTAGAATTTATTTTAAAATTTTACTGTTTGTTTTTAAATCTTTGCATGGACAGGCCCCTGATTACATCTCGGACCTCATCCAAATTTACACTCCTGCGCGCGCCCTGAGGTCCGAGAGCCAGCTCCAGCTCGTGGTCCCTAACGCGAGACTTAAAACCCGGGGGGACAGAGCCTTCTCTGTGGTCGGCCCTAAGCTCTGGAACGCTCTTCCCCTCCATGTCCGGACGGCCCCCACAGTAGAGTGTTTTAAGTCTCGTCTTAAGACCCACTTTTACTCTTTGGCTTTTAACACTGTGTGAGTTGTGTGGTCCTCTGTGTTTTTATTTTTCTATTTATGGTTTTAATCTGTTTTATATATTTTTATTCTTTTATACTTGGTGAAGCTAAGGATAAGTTGTTATTTATTTTATACTTTTTTGTGCAGCACTTTGGAAACGTAACTGTTGTTTAAATGTGCTATATAAATAAAGTGGATTGGATTGGATTGGATTGGATTGGGTTCCCGGGCGCTGTACTACGGCAACCACTGCTCCTGACGTAAGCCTTAGTGGCATAAGGATGGGTCAAATGCAGAGGATGAATTGCCCTACGGGGATCAATAAAGTGCACCTTTACCTTTACCTTTATAGCAAGAACAAAATATTAAGGTATTAGAGAGTCCCCTCAGAGACTCCAAAGACATCTATAGAGAGAGACGTTGTTCTTGTAATTGTATAGTGGATAGAAACCTTGAAAGCAGCATTTCAGATTCATGCAGCTAATAATGGAACAGTCCTGAAAATGTGAGTCAGGCTTCTACTCTGACAATGTCCAGACCCAGGTTAAAATCAATTCTGTATAACATAGATCAAACATAGCACTTAGCTACATTCAAGATCCTATTGGGTTCTATTCCACCCAAGACTGTGTGGAGTTGTGTGTTTGTAGGGTGAATCTGGGTAGGTTTTCTCTAGGTGCTCTGGTTTCTCCTACCACTAAAAATATAAACAATAGGTATGAATGTAGTGAGAGAGTGAATGGATTGTGAGGGTAAGGGGCTACACTGTGCAAGATGTTTGGCGTCTCGCTCCTGTCATTATCATGTATGGAGGGAATGGGAATTACTGGTACACTGGCGCAATTGGCGCTGGGTACTGTCGTCTTTGCAGTGTATTTATTTGCCATAGAAATGTGACATTTGTTATTTTTTATTGAAAACAAATAATCCTAATAGTATACCTAAGTAAACCTAACAGGAACAATGTGATAATTGTTGATTTCTTAGTTTTTTCCTGGTTTATGTCCTGTGGTCTAAAAAGTTGTTTAAAAGAAAAAAAATAACACAAACATGGCAAAACACTAGCCATGCTAACAGGTAGCACATCCGTTGTTAGCCCATTTGGATGACTAAGATGTAAAAAGCACTTTGTGTGACCTCAGTCTGTGAAAAATGCTATATCAATGAAGATGACTTGCTGAATAGGTTCCTTTGTTTTTTGAAGAAAATTGCAGTGAGATGGTCTGATTTGGATTTATTTTTCTCTCATTCATCAAAGAACAATTCTAGAGTCCCTATATCGCACTTTGAATGACAGTTTATGAACTGCTCAAGGGTAGTGTGTATTAAAACAGAATTGTTCTAATGTGCCTCCCGTACTGGCGACCCCCACTCCCAAAAATAACAATTGTAAACCGCTTTGAGACTCCGATGTGCAGTGAAAAGGCGGTATATAAATAAAGATTACTTACTACTACTTACTACTTCTACTCCCTAACAATATGTATTATGAACAATCTGCCACAAGCAATATATATTTATGTTTTATTGCAACTGTGTGGAATCAGTTAGCATTGTCTTTTCTCCCTTTAAAACTTATGAAAATACTATGGATTTGGAGTTGGCTTCTGCCCCTGAGAACGTGCCGTCGGCTCATAGACCGTGCTGCACGATTAAAACAGCCAATTAAAACGGTCACTCGACAGCAAAGGGGAAAACATCGCAGCAGATGTGTTAAAGTTAAACCACTCCACAGAAGGAGAAGCAGCCTGTTGCCATAGAAACCAGCTCCAAGGGCCAATGACGGGAAGTGCTTTATACAATGCATCGATATGACAGAGACTGGAGGGAAAAATGAGGATTTAGAGGAACCTATATCGAATGTTTTTCTGTGAGTAAATACAATGTTGATTGCCAAAGTCCATGTCAAGTGAAAATGTGTACAAATATTGAAGAAAAAACCTAATTATTCCCAATTCTTGACATGTTCAACATTCATAGTAAATATACATTCACATCAGGAACTATAACTAACACAAAAACTGTATTAAAATTGTATCTTGGTGATTTCAATGGTTTTGTTAAGTCCTCTGAGATGACTTCTGTTGTGACCTAGGGCTATACAAGAATAAATTGTATTGTATTGTATTAACAAGGGAGGAAATCAAATTGGCCATAGCAAGCCATAATTTTTTTTGTAAAGTCTGTGTAAATTTAGGCTTAATAGTTATGTTTTACAAGACTATTATCAATGGTCCAAAATCAACAAAACCCCCCCAAAAGAGCCCTCTCATAAACAGTATAATGAGACCATCAATGTTGGCATTGGCATTGGCATAGTATTAGAATGTGTTGATTCCATGTTTTACTTTGTTTATTTGGATGGGGCAGTGTGTAATAATGAATCCCTGTGCTTTACATACACCAGATCCTGGTGAATTGTTTTACATGTTTTTAGCGGTAGGGAAAGCAACACATTATGGGGAGGACATATAAACACCAAACAGAAAGATTTTGTCAAATCGAACCCAGGATCTTCTTGCTGTGAAGCATGAGAGCTAACCACTGCGCTACTGTGCCACTCCTGTCAGACCTCATAAGCTAAGCAGGGCAGGGCCTGGTTAGTACTGTGAGGGGAGAACACCAGGGTCCCACAGTGAAGTGGCAGCAGCTGTAAAGTGCCAAACTCTTGTTGTGCCCTTAGGCAATACACCCACATTGTCTAGTATGAGTCTGGTGTGTGTGTGTAAAAGACTGGTGTTGGTCACAGGGGCACAGATGACGCAGATTAGGAGCTTTTTCGATCAAACAATTTTGTAAAAATGTCAAACAATTTATGTTTTGCATAGTATGACTTCTGTAAAGTTTCTATACGTTTCTATTTGAGATATCAATGCTTGAATTAACTGAAAAATCAATTACAAGTCGTACAGTTGACATGTAATTGAAGATCCTGAGTCTCAATTCAATGTTCTCTGTGTTCATCCGACTATTTCAAGTTCAAAAGAGATGGGGAGAGTGAAGGCAGGACCAGCCTGCAAAAAGGACATTACTGGGACCGTACCTTTATTGAGGGCGGGGTTGTCGATGCTGAAATCTCCGTTCCAGATGACGGTCAGCTCCACTGGAAGACTGCTCATCTCCATCCCCTCGTAGAAATACTGTCACCGTGGCAACCGGAGGCAGTGGTGAAAGTGCACAAGATAAGAAAGCAGGAGAGAAGAGAAGGGAAAGCTATTGAGACACAGTTTATTATCTTTAAACGTCACGTACAAACGAAGAGTACGTACACGATGCATATTCATCAGGTTGCTCTTGTAACAATGGCGGAATCTGAGATTTTCTGCTAAATTACAGTTTTCTCTGCCTTCGGCGCTCAATCACAGTACAATATTTGGATTACACAGTGATTACACCGGTGAGCGCACTCGGGTGATGAAGACAGACGGGAAGATGAGACGTTATTATGGCAACAGGCGATTAGCATCAGGACCAGCGTAAAGCCCTTTTCATGCTACTCTTTCACTGCTGTCAATGTTTTATTCACAGCATGAATGGAGCGTGATGGTACGAGAGGGAAACTCCAGGCCAGATCTTTGCCAAGTGGATCATAAATAAGAGACAAGTGGTTTTGAGAGGACCGCCATGGTCTCACAAAGCAAGAGGTTCTATAGCTGAATGCAAATAAAACATTGACTTCCGTGTCAGCAGGGCCACTTCACAGATCTGCAATTTGGAGTAGTGCTGTAACATGCCGAAAAGGCAATAGATGTGGAATCCAAACCCACATTGGTCAAAAGTAGAAAAAAACCCCATTATCACTGCGGGATTAAAATAACTAATCAATTAATAAACAAATATTTGCTGATACAGTAAAGGTTGATCGCGTTTTAAGCCAATACCCTGATTTGTTTTTTCAGTTGACCTAATAGAGTTTTAACTTAGTTACTGTAGTTACTTGCAGGATAGAACACAATAGGACACATTTTAACAATTTAGTCGTGATTGGAAGTCTCCCCCCACACACACACACTGCTAAACGTGATGAAAAATAAGTCAAAAATTGCTCAAGTTTGGCTAAATGTATGGACTGTGAGCACATTTTGACTGCCTTAAAACAAGATTTGCCAATGTGACAAGAACAAATATTTCGTTTTAAAAGGACACACGCAATTTTTCCATTGGAATAAGAAAAAAATGAAACAGTTCTGGAAATAAATTAAAAAAGTAAATTTTCTCTTCTTATGTTTAAGGCTTAGAAGGTTCATATTAAAAGTACCTTCTAAGCTTTAGTTCTTTAAATAAGACTAAATGGCTTGTAGCATCGGCAAATCTTGTTTTAAGACAGTTAGAAGACAGATAAATGCCACTTGATTTAAGCAATTATTACCTATTCATTACATATTTCATATTGTTTTGTAGTACAGGTCCTTCTCTGGTATTGGCCCTTAATATTATTAAATTATTGGGTATCAGCAAATAATGAAAGCAACAGTATTGAAATTGGCAATAGACATACAAAAACGGTGCATCTTAATAATTTCACCCCGGGACAAAGAGTATTCACTTTGTAAAGCAGTGAGTATGATTTTTTTACCGTGACTTATCAAAGCTAACTATAATGCTGTAGTAGTTTATCAGGTTATGCTAGTGGTATTTGACTTACAAAGATCATAAAGACAAAAGAGGGCTGAATCTGCCAAGCAATCTCCGTTCATAGCACAGTTCTTATTCGGATCGTAGCCCTGTCTCACGGTGGGTCCACAAAAGCGCTGATAAGATTTCCCGATGATCTGTTGCTCTTTTTCATCGCAGATAGCCTGTGTAGCCTTATCCTCTCTGTAGCATGTCCTTCCAAAGTCCTTACCGAAGTGTTCTGGCATTGCACCGAGGACCTGTTGAAGCGAAGAGCTGGGACGCGGTGCTTGTTGCCCTGGATGGTCAGCACACACTCGTAGCCCTTCTGTCCTGACTGAGGCTGGGGCAGGTTCTTGGCTCGGAGCGTGATCGGCTTCACCACGTTCACCGGCACCAGGATCTTCTCCGCGGGCAGCAGCTGGGGACACTCCTGGACAAAGCAAGAAATGGACTGGTTGATCACTTTGATTACTGTCATTGGAATGTTATTTAAGTTATAACTTTGGTAAATCACATGTGGCTAAAATATAAATTGAATTCACTGTTGGCTACGGCCAGTCTGGACAAAGAGGGCTGTTTGAAGAGGGCCTTGTGAGAATGCCATTGTCTCTGCCAGTTCTCCTGTTCTGTACTATTGAAATGCTAAATACCAAAGGTGCTGCTTTAAACTGTATGTATGAAAGGGGGCTGGGCTTACAGCCAAGCAAGATGTTTGAGCCTGGTCTGGGAGATCTGATTTGGAAACCAAAGAGAGAGCAGCTTTCTGCCTTCTCTCTGGTTTGAAAATCACTTCTCCTTGGAAAAGGCAACCAAGAATAAAAATGTCGAACTATGTCTTTTGTGTTTGTGATTTTGTCAGGATTGACTGTAAATTACAGCAATAACAATTACAAACAGGGACAGGATGATAAGTGGTGTTTTTTTAGGTGTACAGTATTATTCAAAATGCTGGGTGGACTTCTGACAGTATGATCTATCACTATATGTGAATGTGAAAATGTGAAAAAATATCACTATATGTTAACATTTATGGACATTGATCACCTCCTTATGGACCAATTGCTCTACGGGTTTTTCAATCACTGCAATTCTTGTGTTTGAATGGTTTGATTCCCTGATGTGTGTTGTTTATGTACAATAGTCCTCAGAGATATTAATTGTTGTGATTTAGGGCTATACACAACTACATTGAATTGAATTGGCTAGAAGTGACAGTGGATCAGTTGCTAGAGCGACGGCCTTTGAGCCAGGTCTCGTGGGGGGATCGAACCCACGACCTTTCTCTATTGACTCCCACTGATGTCTGCTGTTGTTGTGTTCTTGGGCAAGACACATAACCCCACGTTGCCTGAAGCCCCCACTGAAAGATCACGGCTATGCTCTCATTGACAGAGCAGCCATCCTCCTGTGGACCACCTGCAGGGGCTGGTGCCCTGTGCACTGGGAGCATCTCTGACTGCCACCCCACCGAAGAATATGGATGGATGGATTTAACTATATGGATTCATATCATTGTTTATTTTTTTTTTTATTTTTGTTTAGCCTTTTAGGAGTACAGTACCTTTAACTTTCAAACCACATACATGAACTTGATCAGTTTGGAAAAAGTGAATAACAGGGGACCACTCTCGCTCAGACCAATCAGCTCTCAAGGGTCACAGGGTATGTAAAAGATAAAATTATTAGACCGTTGTGAGACAGGTTAGTTTTACCCTATTGATTATGTGTTGTTTCAATAGTAATCCTGCTCCTGTTATTTTCACATAAAAATTAAGATAAAGACAAGATCCACAAATCTGCTTATATGCTGACATGCCATGATAAGAATGATTATAATACTATAGCACAAATGTCACATTGCTATGTCCCTGATCAGAGGCATCACAATAATAATAGACAAACTGACAACTGAATAAACCCGGCAGGAGGCCTTATGAAGGTTGCACAAGTTCCATTCATAAAACACGGATTAAAAGTGGATTTCTCTCTTTGAGTAAAAGGAAAATATAGGCGCGCTGGAGTGAGATATACAGTGGATGAGTCGCTTAGCAATTGGAGTCTAAAATTAACGGCCAATCAATTCAGGTGCATGTCGCTAAATATAGAGCACCTATGGGTGGCCCGGGAGATAATAAAGGAGGGAGGACAGGTGGAGAGGGAGGAAGACAGAGAGCAGAAAAGAAAAGCCAAAGAATGACGCACAAATGATAATATAAGACAGATCGCAGCCAGATGCTTAGGTGATACAATATTGAAGAAAGGGACAAATCAAGGAAGACATTGCGCTGTATGCTAGCTATAATGAAATCATGATTATACAGGTTGATACATCATCTCAATATCTCATCAGACGTAATGTAAGAATTGAAATGACATTGAACATTTTATTGTAATCTTTTGCATTATATAGTTTTGTACTTGTTTCTGCACCTGCCCCGGGACTATGGATGAAAAATTGCTTTGAAGCTTTAAAACTTGTTGAAAAACTGTTTGTAATAAAACAACTTTGACATAAACTCTCATTGTCATTTTCATTTGTACGTTCCAGTCTATTCCACGTTCTTTTTCTTAGTTAGCTTGACACCCAAATGAGGGAATGAGGTGAACAAAGCGCGGAAGAGCTGAAGGAGCCCAAATACTATTAACCAAATCCGACAGGAAGAGCTTGAACATGTCAAAGAGGCACCACGCTGGAGATAAGGTGAGCCCGTCGCACTCGGGTGGGAGAGCCTGGAGGGGGGGATAACGTGTGTTTGAAGTTCATTAAAAGCCACTTGATTGGGTTAGACTGAGAGAAGATGGGAGGAACTTGTTGGATGTGCGCAAAGAGAGAGTCAGGAAAAAAGGAGAAAGAAAAGATAAGAGCAACACAATGCAGAACGTCATTTCTAAAACTGTACATAGAATTTATACATGGGAACAAAATTAAAAAAACATTTTGAGAATTAAAGTCATGATGATCTTTATCTTTTCATGAAAGGCACTACCCAATAGTGCCTCACAGAGCTTGTAACTATGCAAAAGTTAAATTAAAAAAGCATGTTGTGGTCTATTGTCTTCCAAATCATATCAAATCAAATCATACTTTTACAATACTTTTCTCAGTCTTGATGTAATTATACCACTATGGCTTCGCACTCAGGGAAGTTGCATTCTTTGCAAATGCACTAATTTTCTAATATGAAAACAAGTTAAACAAATACTTTTCTTCTTCTTGTATTAGCATAGGGATAGGGCAGGTCAAAAGCATTATTTACCTTGTTTCACCATCTATTTTATACTGAATCTTTTCTCTCTAAGCGTACAGGCTGTATGCGTACAGAGAAACTAAAGCAGAGTTTTAAACAGAACCAAACACACGGCCGCGGTCACGCATAGGACGCCCTGGGACAAGGCGCAGGAGAATATCGAAGCCACCTCTGTAACATCAATACCACTCGCGCAGAGAGGACTTCAGAAGGACATGGGACAGACTTTGATGGACAGGAATACAAATGAGAATCAAGGTGACGCAGGTAGAGTGATTTTTATAGCTCCTGCTGCTAACAGACTACCATTATATTTATTGTAGAATTTCTTCAAACGAGCCATTTAATTGCATTTTTCACACATTTTGAATATGTACATTTGTGTATGAATGTGTGCTTATGGAAGTCTGTGTGTGTAGTAGTAAGTTGGATAGTATTTTGGATATGAAGGTAAATTAAAAGTGATACAGGTGATACAGTAGGAAGATATTTGGGGAGATTTTACCAGAAGTCCCATATGTCTGAAAGATAATTAAAATAAATGCATAATCTGATCCTGTTCATCCAATGTGACAAATTCCACTCCCTGTTGTGATCAATTCAACTGTACATTTGAATGTTCCCACATAATTCAGTGCAATGTAGCAAAATTGTCCCGTTTTGCATATCCACTGGGTTTCATACGCTAAAATGGCACTAAAGTATTATAGCAGTGACAAAGAGACACCTCTTGCTCGGCTTTCGTACAAACTATCCGTCGGAGAGAATTTGCCGTCAAGAAAGAGAGTGAAGAGACTCACACTCCTCACAAAGTCATTATAGATAAATGACGCAGAGGGTGAGTGAGTTTGTGTGTGTGTGTGTGTGTGTGTGTGTGTTAGAGAGAGAGAGAGAGGGAGAGAGAGACTGAGTGTGTCTGTGTGTTCGTGCGCGTTCATGTTTGCTTTTCCAAATCTCATTTTCCTAAGACCGAGGGAGCGTATTTGGCAAATGAAAATGAGTGGGAGAGCAAAGAGAAATGCAATCCATTTTTAATCACATCTTTTCCACTTAATACACTCGAACAATAAGGACATTAATTCGATCTGCTCGGTAGAGAGGCCAGGGAGCCAGTCAAGTGTGACCTTACATGAGGAGAATGATAAAAAACTCTGATCAACAGGAAAGAAACATAATGGAGATGGCTGGGAGTGAGGACGAACAAAAGTTTGAAAAAGTGTGTAATTATTGAAACAAAATTGCGGCTATACTTATTTTTAAAGAATTGACATTACACGTAGGTTTTTATAATTTCACGCCCAGGTTTGACATAAGCAGCAGATATGTCGAAGTAGTTACTAAGCAACAACAAAGTAAACAAGAACCTACGCTCATCAAGAGTTACACATGGAATTATATAAATGATTTTCTCTAAACATAGCACTGCATCAGGAACATGAGCAGAAAAACCATTATGTGTGTAAATTAACATAATTGTAAAGTATAATTCACTAGACATACAGCATTGATGCTATCCATCCATCCATTTTCTTCCCCTTAATCCATTTCTGGGTCGGGGGGGTGGCAGTCAGAGCTTCACCCAGTACACAGAGCACCAGCCCCTCACTGATCCTCCTGCAGGTGGTGAGTCCACAGGAGCTGAGATCTTTCAGTGGGGGCTTTGGGCAAAGTAGGGTTAAGTGTCTTGCCCAAGGACACAACAACAGCAGTCATCAGTGGGAGTCGTGAAGTAGGTCTTGCGGTGGGCTCGAACCCACGACCTTCAGGCCCAAAGGCCAAGGCTCTACCAACTGAGCTACTGTCGCCCTACCCATTGATGCTATACCCGTCTAAATTGATTACATTAATTTTCACCAATGCCCAAAAATATGAATAAATGTAGAGCACCTAGCTTCCCTCCCCCCCCCAAAAAATATATGCTGTTTGTATATATTTTTTTAATCTTTTGTATGAAGAGCTCTGTGAGTCATTTTTGACACTATGGGCTGAGAGCTAAGTGGCTGAGAGATGGTGGCCCCAGCTTTTTAACTTGTTTGGCTGAAAAATCTAATATAAAGATGTGAGATCAAAAATATATGCATGTGAGATCTGTTTTTGGTGCGAGGAACTAGTTGGATGGACTTTATTGTAGTGGTCATATGGTTTGAAAGTAAGGTACCCCAGCTTTAATACGCCATATGAA